GTGGATAGAGCGTCGGCCTGCAGACTGAAGGGTCCCGGGTTCGATTCTGGTCAAGGGCATGTACCTTGGTTGCGGGCACATCCCCAGTAGGGGGTGTGAAAGGAGGCAGCTGATCAATGTTTCTCTCTCATCCATGTTCCATGTGTCTAACTCTCTATCCCTCTCCCTTCCTCTCTGTAAAAAAATCAATAAAATATTTTTTTTTAAAGAGAGAGAAGAGAGAAGGGGAATGTGGAATAATAAAAAATTTGAAGAGACCACAAAAATTAGGGAACAAATGAACTAAGGCAAAGAGAGGGGATCACAGCTACACAGGGATTTGCTGGCTCAGCACGAGTTCTGCCAACTTGAGTCCTCTACCTACTCCAAGCCATAGCATCCCTCTGCTCTTTGAGTTCCCAGAGCACTTACCCAAAGTCCACCCAATGTTAAATAGGTAAAGACCTTAGTGGGTCTGCACCGGGTCCTGCCCATATGACCCTTCCTCTCCAGCCTCATTCCGTCACCCCTATAGCCCTCACCTTTCTGGACTCCAGTCTTGTACCCTATGCTTATTAAATTGACCCTATGGCCTTTGCTCAGCCTCAAATGTTCCCTCTTCCCTCCCCAATGAACCACCCACTCCCAGCCTAGGAGCTCCTCTCTTAGATGCCCTCATTCCATTGATTTCAGTGTGTGCTTATCTGCTCATTCAGGGATGTCTTCACTGTCATCTTCCAGGACAGCAACTATCATGGCTAGTTTTGCCCACTGAATGGAGTTTCACTCTTTTTAACTCTTTTTACTTATGGGTGAGATGATTTCTTCACCTTACCCCTCTTTAATGAAGAGCTAGTATCAGTAGGTAGTAGTAGGATATTTCAAACTAGAAATCAAGAAGGAGTGAGTTTCCATATTTGCTCTCACTCTTATATGGACTTCTCAGTGTGACCTTGGGACCTTGATACTTCTCTCTCTGAGCCTGGTTCCTCCTCTATAAAGTAAGAGTTTAATCCAGACAGTATCTGAGGTGCCTCCTTCTCCAACTTAGCATTTTAGGTCCTTCAATAGACTAAAAAGACAAAGCAAAAAAATAGAAAGAACTTTTAAAAAGCTAAGGAAAGGAAGAAGTCACACTAAGAAAGGGAGAAGGCCGCATGTTTCATTGAGCCTGGGGTTCATTGAGCCTGGGCTCTGTGTCTGAATCCCATTTCAGCAGTTGGTCACCTTGTAACCTTGGGCAGATTGCTTAATGTCCCTGAGCCTTGACTTCCTCTTGTGTACAATGTAATAAGCATACTTCCCTCACAGGTCTGACTAGAGGATTAAATGAGATGATGTATTCTACTACAGGGAACATGGAAGTCTATAGTACATATTAGGTCCTTTCCGTCTTCCCACTGGCTGTCATGGAATTTTAAAGTGGATTATAATTAAGTAGGGCATGAGTTGAGACAAAGGCTCAGTTGTCTCTGCATGTTTTGGTTCCTGCACACTTGATTCCTCTACAGAGGCTTTCTACCACTTAAAACAAACAAACAAACAAACAAACAAACTTTGCATTCCTGAAGAGTCACAGAGCTGCATTTCTCTCCTCATTTAAGCACTCCTATGAGGTTTAACTACATGCAATGATTTTAAAGTTGGTTCCAAAGATGCTTACAGATGTTTTCTGTCTTCATGATACAATGGCAAGAGCACGACTAAAGTCCCCATTCAGCTACCACTGACCATGTACTCAATTATACTGGTCACATTCACCCTTTCCTGTATGTCACAGAGAAACATGAGACCCTAGCTCAGGGGTGGGCAAACTTTTTGACTCGAGGGCCACAATGGGTTCTTAAACTGGACCGGAGGGCCGGAACAAAAGCATGGATGGAGTGTTTGTGTGAACTAATATAAATTCAAAGTAAACATCATTACATAAAAGGGTACGGTCTTTTTTTTCAATAGTTTTATTCATTTCAAACCAGCCGGATCCAACCCGCGGGCCGTAGTTTGCCCACGGCTGCGGCCTAGCTGCTTTTGCTCAATGGATAGAGCATTAGCCTGTGGACTGAAGAGTCCCAAGTTCAATTCCAGTCAAGGACACATGGCTGGGTTGTGGGCTTGATCTTCAATGAGGAGCATGCAGCCAATCAATGAATGACCCTCTCTCATCATTGATGTTTCCATCTCTCTTTCCCTCTCCCTTCTTCTCTGAAATTAATAAAAATATTATTTTAAAGAAAAACATGAGATTTCTTTGAAGGAGGAATGAAAGGGGGAATATTTTAAACCATTTCTTTTTTATCTCTCTCTCTTCTTCTTCTTTTTTTTTTTTTTTTTTTTTTTTTTTTTTTTTTTTTTTTTTACAAAGTATCCTAGAATCACTGAGCGATAGGGTTTTGAGGCAGGAAATACTTTTAGAGATTATCTATTTCAGTCCTGTCACTTGGCATTGGTGGTGATAAGAGACTTGAGCATCTATATTCATTGGAAAGAGAAGATTTGACTTGGAATTTAAAAACTTGGGTTCCATTGCTAGCTCTGCCAATGTTATGGCCATAGGTTGGCCACTTCACCCCTTCAGGGGTCCCCAGCTATAAAAGAGGACAATAATCATTACTTCTCATAGATGAAGTAAGGAACCAGTGAGAGCATGCAGCTGAGAGCTCTTTGTGAATGGTAAAGCAGTTTTCAAAGAAAAAGCATTGCCATACTCTTTGGACACACGGCCTTCAAGCTTATAAAGCATATCCACTCAACTACCAAATATATCATCTCATCTTGAATATCAAATTTTGTGAATCAAGAAAGAAAAATACTGACCTTAGCAAAACCCCTGGCACAGAATAAGTGCATAGAAATTTTTTCTGAAAAATTTAGGTGACAATGACTAAAGAAGGGTTTTTGAGGTCTCCTCAGAGTCAGGAGGTAGATGCATGAAGCTACCCAAAGTTCCTGTCACAGGACAGCCCCAAACATACTATGGCTCCAGTGGAGCTCTCTCTGTCCCCTGGAAAGAGATGGCCTGGTGCAGAGGCTTCCTTACAAGTCAGCCTTTGTTCACACTCACAGAACAGTAGCTCCCCAAAACCACGCAGGGACCTCACCGCATAGCTTGTCGTTTGAAAACTGGTTTCCAAGGTCACATGAAGGAAAAAGTTAGATGAGACCCCAACCTGAGTTGTCTGTCCAGAAAAAAAATATTCAAACTCTCCTTGAGAAATTCAACAACCACATTGAGGAATTCTCTTCAACAGAGAATGCCATTGGCCAGGATGGGCGTTGCCACTGATGATGGAACCAACGGTATTTTCCTGGATTACCAAAGAGGTGTTGCATATACCTCCCAGAAACTAAATATCTTCACGGTTTCAATGGAGGTCTTCATCTAAAAATGTCCTCCTGGTTGAAGATTTTAAACCAATATTTTCATGAGAACTATTTTTCCTTTGGTCAACCAAGGCGTTAGTTACAATGATGACTATACAGATTCCCAGTGACAGAGCCATCATTAGCATTGTTATTATTTTTGTTTCGCTGCATCTCCATAACAGCCCACAGTCACAATGTGCTCTGCAATCGCTTCTTAGTAATAGTCCTCACAAGATCTCCGGGAGGCAAAAGGGTGACTAGGGTTAACATTTCTGATTTGCCTAAAAGGGAACCACAGACATAGATAGCTGGCTACCAACACCATTTTTATAATGATCATACTGAGACACCCAACCTCTGCCCCAATCTAGTCCTACACTTATACTGCCTACATTCAAGATGCCAGCTATTTCTGTAACTCTTGTTTATGGCTATTGAAACACCAAGTCTATCATCAGGAGGAACTGGACTGGGCAAAGGAATCAGAACCAGACATTTTGCACCTAGGATAGACCATGATCACCTAACCAGTTCCTTAATGCACAGAACCAGAAAGAATGCTTTCCCCAACTCACACAAGCCACTTCCTCCCAGTTCTGTGCTTGAGTGTGTTTTTATACCATGTTGCCATGCCTCACCTTTCTCTCTTTACCTTGTTTTTCTTCCTCTTCCTTCTTCTTCCATCCATTTCCTTTATTTAAAATTGTATGTGTCTTCAATTCCAACCAGGAAACCTAAAACATGTATCTGCTAAGGCTATGGTGTTGCACCACCAGAACTGGGCTAGTCTCAGAATACTGAGAAAGTCTGATCAGTGTCAGACATGAGTCCCTTCCTTTCCCCAACCTCTATTCTTGAATCTTGCCGCTGGGCTCTGGCTGGGGATTTGCCCACACCTCCCTGAGTCTGCAGCTGTCCTCACACTCCTGGGGTTTGTCCTGGAAAAGACCAGACCACTCTTTGGGCTCTGGTGGAGGCTGTAACATGCCAGAGCCCAGCGTCTCCTGAAGCTGTCACTTCTGTAGGAAATGGGTTGATGGTATTCAGAGGAGTAAGAGGATGAAGACTTTGGTGGTTGAATGTCACTTTTGTCTCCTCTGACCTGCCCTAAGCAACAGATTGTCACCCCATACTCTGAGTGATTTATGCCTATTCAACCAAACTCCTTCAGAAAAAAGTGGGTCTTCTTCCCTTAAGGACCACCACTCAGCTGCCAGGGGCTGTCAACTACCCCATCCATTCATACTCAGCCACAGGGAGCAATAAACAAATGAAGCCAAAACACAAACCACAGCTTCGAAGCTCCCCTCCAACTCTAGCCACCTATAATTCTGATTTTAGGAGTTCTCTTTCCCCTCCCATCATTGATTTTTAGAAACTTCTTAAGTATCCTATGTTTTCTTCCTTTTTTTTCTAAGACTATGTGTTTATACTTGTTTAGAGTAGAGCAATAAATACACAAAGCAAGTCATAAACTCTGGAAATCTCTGCAAAAAGCATTATCAAGTTTATAGTCTGCCATTGTGAGGGTGAACGAACATAAAAGCATACAAGGCAAAATTCTTCCGTGTGAATTCCCTGTGACGTACCCATGGCCACGCCTACTCCACAGAAGACAAAGGCAAAGGCACGGGACTCAGACTAAGTCTCCAGCCAGAGAGGGAGTCACTGCACTGACGCCTGAGTAGCTAAGGTATTGTCCTTATCACATCTTTGGCTTTTAAAATATTTTTTTCTTTGTATCCTTGACTGTCATCTCTCAAACTGCCTTCTGTGATGCTAAAGCTTTTTCCTTCCTTTCTTGTCCTTTCCTGATTTGAAGTGTGAGTTAGAATCACAGTCAGATTTTAGAAAATGATTCTGTCTCCCAGTGGAGAACTGAAAGACAGAGGAACTGGTTTCATTTAAGGGCAAGCCTTCCCTCTAGGAAACTCTGCTCCCACAAACTCTGTCTCTCTCTTGCATCTGTGTAAGATAAATGCCTCATTCTTGTGGTGTATGTGTGTTTTTAACTTATCCAAAGTCCACTGAATGCCTATGTACATGCATTGAGTTGGACACATAAGGAATACTAAGATTCTAAAAGAAATTTACAGTCTAGTAGAGGAGGCAGATGCAATGCAAATCATTTAAGGGAGTCAAAAGAAGAATGGGGGAAATGCTGAGTGTGGGCTAAGTCATGCATTATGTTTCTCAAGAAGCACACAGCGGAGGTGGTTCCCTATGAAGGCATCTGGCTCAGGAGCTGGCTGGGCTGACAGCTCCTGGTGTTCTCTTTTTCAGAAGTCAAGATGGCTCAGGTCCCTGACCTCTTTGAAGACCTGAAGAGCTGCTACAGGTAGGAAATAGATTCTCTTGTGATTCGATGAGGGGATCAAGGCACGTTAGAATTCAGCTAGGGGTTACAGTGACTAGCATGGGGCTGGACTGGCAGACACTGAAGAGATGTGTCCTAGCTCCAAAGTCATGGCAGCTTCAGCAAAGACCCAGGGCAACTAAGCATCCAGCATGTTAAGCTGAGATGACATTGACAGGGAGACAGCTATGATAGAAAAATTATTTTTAAGGCCTGCTGAGTCCTAGTGAATTTCAACATCTACTCAGACACAGTCTCAGCTAGGGTCACATGTCTGACAGTGATAGGCTTTAATAGACTGTCAGAGAGGGAAACCATTCTCAGAAAACTTCTTGATCTCAATCTGGAAGGGGAAATGGCTCCACAGCAGTCTGAGCACATGAGTGCTTACACACAGTCCAACCTCATCCAGACATAGGAGAAACATAAATGAGTAAAAAGGTAAAATTATAGAGCCTTCAGCTAGCATGGTGCTCCCATTACCTGTTAATATGCACTAACACACACTAGGCCATCCAGATGCTGTTTGGATGTGTTGCCAAGTATAAATGACTAGATCCACTTTAGTGAATACATTAAAGCAGTGTGTAACACCTATTTGGCTAAAATTAAAGTGAGGTGCTTCCAAAGTATTTCTTTTCTCTTAAGGAGCTTAATATTTTTCTCTAAAATTTAATTACAACTCTTCAATTTGTTAGTCAAGCTCTGTTTTTGTGGATAAAACCCAGGTAAAGTTCAAAGCCTGCCCTGATGATTACTACAGTAATTGCAAATTAGTGAGGGATGAATCACTGTATGGATGTCTGTTATAGAAGTCTTTCATTTTCTAAGATGACAGTAGTGGCTGTGTGTGTGTGTGTGTGTGTGTGTGTGTGTGTGTGTGTGTGTTTGTGCGCGCGTGCGCATGTGTGTGTTACCCAAAGATAATGTAGTCATTAACATACGTTGCCCAGTGACTGTAATGATATAACAAACAATTACATTCTTATCATCTTGTTTGACAGTGAAAATGAAGAATACAGTTCCGAAATTGACCAACTCTCTCTGAATCAGGTAAGCCAATGACTGATTCTTACGGGATTGCTATTCTGACACTAGTGTTTTCTCCACCAGAAGAGAACCACAATGTCTCAAATCCTAGATGCTTCTGTCGTACCCTCACAAGAGGTCCAGAGACATGTATCTGCCTCTGTGCACTGAGAGTTGATGGCCTTCTTCATGGGCACTAGAATTTACCAGAGCAGAGCAGAACTATATCTAGAACCCCAAGAACTGGAAACTCTTGGCCAGGTTTCGTCAGAATGTTATGCCATCCTGAGATAGCTCCTTTGGGATCTGTCTCCTAAAGAGATATGTTGGGGTCATCCTCTCTGACTCCAGCTCCAGAAATTAGTGAGAGTCCTGCAATGTAACAGCCCATGAAGCTGAGGTGGAGAAAGCAGGCCACACATCACCTGCGTGATTTTGCTTGGAGACCGTCTGTGTGTATTAGGTACGGGTTCTAAAAGCTGTTCTCAGAGGACTATTTCTAGACTCTTTGTGCCCTACCAGTAAAAGTCTGACTTCCTGAGAGAGACCTAAATGGAGGGCCACCACTCACAAAGGTCACATTTGTAAACCTGTTTCATTACATCTCATTTTTTTAGTTGGGCGATGGATGACAATAACTGGCCAAGAGGTCACATCCTTTCAGGGAAATCCTGAGAGGAAGGGAGGCGGGAGGGAGAGGGGAAGACTGATGAGACATGGGTTAGCCAAGGCCAAAATGCAGCTCCTTCTCGTTGAGTCTGTGGAATAAAACTCCTGCTGAAAGGACTCTCATTCTATGGCCATGGGCAGCCTCTTAGGTTCTACTTCCCTTTCTCACAGAAATCCTTCTATGATGCAAGCTATGACCCACTTCCCAAGAACTGCATGGGCCAATTCCTGTCTCTGAGTACCTCTGAGACCTCTAAGACATCCCAGCTTACCTACAAGGAGAGTGTGGTGGTGGTGGCGGCCAATGGGAAGATTCTGAAGAAGAGACGGTTGAGTTTCAATCAGTTCATTACCGATGATGACCTAGAAACCATTGCCAATGATCCAGAAGAAGGTAGGGAATCAAGTTCAATAATATCCTTGTTTTCCATTTTTAAGCAAATGTAGGGACAATAGAGTATGGGGGCAAATAAAACCTAAAGTCAGAGTAACATGAAGGCAACCAGGCACTAGTCTGGAAACTATAAGGAAGGAAGATTAAATGATATCCTTCTCCAGCAGGCAGGAAGCAGCAGTGGCCTGTGTCTAAAATATTTGCTCACATGCTCATTTCATGGCCATATTATAAAGGTCATGTGACTTTCAAGCCTTTGGCAGAAAGCATTTATTCACTGTTAGTGGGTATCAGCTTACAAGCTGTGTTCCTCCACATGCTAACTATGCCTCCTTGGCCAAATAACTTAACCCCTCTGTGCTCCAGTTTCCTCTGCTGTAAATGGAGATCATCAGAGCCCCTACTCATTGTGAGGATTAAATGCATCAATACTTGCAAGCTTCTTGACTAGAAGAATGCCTGGCACGTAGAAAATACCCAGTAAATATCAGCTATTGATGTTGTTGTTATTCTTACTATTACTACTGATGCTACTGCCTTTATTAATGCTACCAACAATACCACTTTATTAATGGCTGCATTATCTCTACACTTCGCAATAACTCTACACTCTCCTTTTACAGATGAGGAAACTAGGCTCAGTGAGATAGTCATCTGCCCAAAGTCACACAATGTGTAAATGGGAAAGCCTTAAACCAAATTTGGTTCTAATCATAAAAACCATGATTTTTCTCCCATGCCTCTATTCTACAACCCTCTATGCAAAACAAAAACCAAATATGTTTAAGGTAACAGCTAAACACTAGTACATGTTCACCTAGAAAATGAAGAAGTAGAAGAAAATGTAAGAAAGAAATAAAAATTACTCATACTACCACTAAGAGTTTACCACTGCCAGTATTACGATAAGTCGTTTCTATATACTTACATACACATGACCATGTTAGGATCACACTGTACACAATTTTATATGTAGGTGTTTTTTTCATGTAGCAATATATCAAGGACATTTTAGAGTGCAATGTTTCACCAATATAAATAACGCAACAACAAACATCCATATCAATAATCCATCATTTCTATTACCATTTACACCCTTAGAAGAGACTCCAAGAAGTAGAATTATGCAGAGCCATGAAAATTTGTGAAGCTTCTGATTTACATCACAGCTCAGAGGGGGACAGACATTTAGACCTGCTCCCTCAGTAACATACAAAATTCTTAACGTATTTCTTTACGCAGAGTGCATTCGATTGAAAATATAGATGGGGATGCTAGAATTTTCCTGGTTACTTAGAAATCTCCAAAACAACCAAAAATGAGGACATTGCAGCAATAATCTCTTTTTAAAAAAATAGTGAGGCATCAAAGTTTAAAAAGAAATGATCCTAGAGTCCACTCTGCTACTGCTGGGTGATTCTACTTCTCTGTTTCCTCATTTCTGTGCTTGTATTAGAGCAGACATGTCATGTGTTTGCACCCGGACACTAATCTCAGCTTGTGCTAATGATTGTAGAAATCCTCCAGCCCAAGTCAGTACCGTACAGCTTCCAGGGCAACGTGAAGTACCCCTTCATGAGGGTCATAAAAAGGCATTTCATCCTGAATGACGACCTTCATCAAAGTATCATTCGAGACACATCGGGTCGCTTCCTCATGGCTGCCGCGTTAAATAATATGGACCAAGCAGGTAAACAGACAACTCGGTCATCCTCCCTCCTCTTATTTCTGTATTTCTTTCAAGCTTTCTACTTTCAAAGAATACACCTCTCTAGACTCCTGGCTTTGCTCAATTTTTCTAGAACAGAAGGATGCATATCACCCCAGTTAAAACCCCTGGCAAAGACAAGAGCCTCAACCAAACCTGGGAGCCTCCCAAGCAGGTGTGCTGTCCTTGAGAGCACTAAGGGCAGTGTGCAGCTTTCTGATGGAGTCTCTCCTTTGGTTCTCTCAGTCTTATCCTCCTTTTAAAGATGAGGAAGCTGAGTCTCAACAATGTTAAATGACTCAGCCCGATTTACCCAGAACCAATGAGGAGCCATCACGCCTCATTAGAAAGCCTGCCAAGCAAACTTACAAATAACACCAAATTAGAAAGAACCATTATCTCAATCATATAACCTAATTGGAGGCAAAACATCCAATAAGATGCAAATATGTTCTGAAGGATGAAACTTAGTGTCTAAGAAGTTTTATCACACCATTTCCATGGTGTACATGGTTAGCTTCAGGATATGTCATCATATACAAAATTATTTCCCAAGATCCACAGAAGATCCTCTGCAGTAACCAGCAGGGCTCTCTCTGATTGGACTTCAGCGAGCATGCTTCCCACTCTACGACAGTTACAAATCATTTGTGTTCTATTTTCACCAATTTTCCTATATATTGACCATGTGTGTGTGTGTGTGTGTGTGTGTATATATATATATATATATATATATATATATATATATATATAGAGAGAGAGAGAGAGAGAGAGAGAGAGAGAGAGAGAGAGTCGGGTTTGCTCTAAGTAATTCTGTTGCAAATATCTTTGTTTATGTACATTTTTTCCTATGAGGTTATTTCTTTAAAAGAGCATATCCCAAAAGTGGGACTCCTGGGTTCCTAGGCATATATAATTTTACAACTCTTATTAGGCTTTGTTCTTAAGAAAAATTTAACTACTTGTCATTAACACTAGCAACATGGGTATCAGCCTCCCTAAACCCCTCCATCTTAGTTCACTATGAACTCATAACCTCACATTACAGTGTCTTATCCCACTAATGTAATTATAAGAGATTTAATAAATACTCAGCCCCCAAGCATTCATTAAGCTTAGAAGATTCTAAGGATATTAACCAAGTATCAATCTGCCTAGTAAATATGGCAGACATTGTAAAGGACACAACAGTGTGCCAGATTCCATTTCTGGCACTTACACCATAGTCAGGGACCTAATGCACACACACAGGCACACACAGGCACATACAGAGTATCTACATAAACACTTGATTCTATACAAATACCATAGGTTTACTTTCTTTTTGGTTTTTCTCTCCACAGTGAAATTTGACATGGGTGCTTATAAATCAGATGACCTTAAACGTCCTGTGACTCTGAGAATCTCAGACACGCGACTGTTTCTGAGTGCGCAAAATGAAGGCGAATCCGTATTGTTAAAGGTCAGTTGTCCTCTGTCTCTACTTACCTTCTCATACATTTGTCAATGACTCCAAAAGGCAGACACTCCTAGCAGGGTGCACAGTCCTCTTCTCTTCCTACCACAGTCCCCACCTGCTCATCTGACCCCATCCTGCTTCTCACCCATCCCCAGAGGCAATTCTAGGCAGAATCTGTGGGAGAGTAAAATGAAGATGCAAGAGTGTATAAGAGATAAATTGCCTTCTTCCTTCTTTTTTCTTTCTCTGCCTGATCCTGTTCACCTCCCATCCCAGGACATCCATTTATTCAAGCCACCTTTGATCCTTACTGACATCTACTATCTGGCTTACATTATTTAGATATTAAGATGATGGGCCTGCCTCCAAGAAACTCAAACAAGTCAACTGAGATCAGAGAGGATTAATCATGTGCCAGCAGGCACAAGGCAGAAAGCTGGAGCCAACAGGCAAACCCTGGCCTTCTGACTCTAGTGCCTCTCTCTCTTCATTGGTGCCCACATTATCCATCATCCCATCCACTACCACCTTCCCCGACAAATACACAGATGCCTACTTTAGTCTTAGAGTTTTCTCCACTGATAAGTAGGTGACTCTTATTCAGTAAATGTATAATCCAAACCCCCGCCCCCCCCCCCCCCCCCCGCCCCACACACACACACGAATTTATGTGGTGCATGTGTTTCTCTACCTGGATCAAGTTAAAGGAAAATGGTGTCAGTAGCTTCATTCATGAAGTCATTCAGTAAGCATTATTTGCTGACAGCCTTCTGTCTGTCAAGCATAGTGCCAATAGCGGTGTAGACAGTGGTACACCAAAGTCCCTAACCTTGTAGAACTTAGTCTCCTGGGGGACACAGTCAATAAACAAACCAAGCAACCAGCACAACGTGCAAGATGCTGTAAAGCAAATGGACAAGGTACTGAGATAAAGAAAAGTGGGAGTTCTCTTTAGATAGAGAGGCAAGAATAGAGCTCCCTGTAAGATGAGGGCTGCTGATGGGAGGGCGGGAGCATGCCATCATATAAGGTGGGGAGAAGGGCATTGTAAACAGAGGGGGCTGACTGATCTCAGGCCCTAGATCTTTAAGAGCTTAAAGGCTAGCTTCAAAGATCAGGACACTCTAGGAGCTGGGCACCAAGAGGAAGAGGGAAGAAAGGCAGAGGCTGGTATTGGTGGAGCCTTGCATTTGGATTTCATCTGAGGTACAATAAAAAGCCATTAAAGGGAATTCATTTATATTATCTAAAATGGAGAATAGATCAGAAGGAAGGCAACAGAGGAAGCAGACAGCCCAAATAGGAGGCAATAACAATAGTCATGGGGTGGGAAGTGCTGAGACAGGTGGAAAGCAGTAGACAGAATCTCATTACATTTTGAAGACAGAATCAAAAAGAGCAAGAGGAGAAACTCCACTTATTGAGATGAGAAAAATTAGGAAAGGAATAGGTTTGGGAAATAAAATCTTTATTGACATTAAAAACCCCAAGAAAACCTCAAAAAGAATATTTAGTTCCTTTAGATCAGCAGTTCTCAACCTGTGGGTCGGGACCCCTCTGGGGGTCGAACGACCCCTTCACAGGGGTCGCCTAAGACCATCGGAAAACACATATATAATTACATATTGTTTTTGTGATTAATCACTATGCTTTAATTATGTTCAATTTGTAACAATGAAAATACATCCTGCATATCAGATATTTACATTACGATTCATAACAGTAGCAAAATTACAGTTATGAAGTAGCAACAAAAATAATTTTATGGTTGGGGGGTCACCACAACATGAGGAACTGTATTAAAGGGTCGTGGCATTAAGAAGGTTGAGAACCACTGCTTTAGATTAAAAAGAGTACAGAAGTATCTCAAGTTAGAATTTGAATTTTAATTTTTCATGAAAGTATTGTTAAATTCTATTCATAACCACAAGAAAGATACAGTTTAAAGAGATCACAATCATCAACAATTTTATAGAAAGGATTCAGCTGCTAATATACCTGTGTAGTGGTGTGTGTATGTGTGTGTGTGTGTGTGTGTGTTATTTTTTCAACCTTCAATTGTTTATTCAAATACAGACATAAACATTTTTACATTATACATTGTTTTCCCAAAAGTATGATTTACACGCTTAGAGGTCAACATTTTTAGAGGTCTTAGAACTGCTAGTGCTTATATTTGATGCAAAATGTCTTATGCTTGTGTTGGAGGCAGGACAAGAATGACGTTTGACCCACCTGCCAGGATACAGGGAGACACTGGTGTCATTGGCAATCTTCATGACTAATTTGGATTTCTCTCCAGTTAACTAAGGAGATCAACTATTATGAATAGATGAGGCCATACATCTAATAGGCATGTAATAAATGCTTGCTGAATGAATAAATGAATGAAGAACCTACATAATATTACAGAGTCAGAATCCTAAAATGCTATGTTTCTCACTAAGGCTACATGCCAAAGGGAGTGAACTTTGATTCTTGTTCTAGCATCTTATTCTCTAACAACTCTGTTCTCCTTATCCTAGGAGTTGCCTGAGACACCCAAAACCATCACAGATGAGACCAACCTCCTCTTCTTCTGGGAAACTCAGGGCAATAAGGACTACTTCGAGTCAGTTGCCCATCCAAAGCTGTTTATTGCCACAAAGCAAGAATACCAGGTGCACATGGCAAGTGGGCATCCCTCTATCATTGACTTGCAGATACTGGAAAACTACCCTTAACTCTGAAGTCTACTTACTTGTGAAATGCTGACAGCCCATATGTACCGTGTACATGAAGTAGTCAAATCCTTTACTCTTAGTCACTTGTGCTAAGCCTTTGTAATTCTAAATGAATGTTTACTCTCTTTGCAAGAGAGGGAATAAGGTCTAGTGAACCAACACTAATATATGATATTGCTTGTTATTTAAGGAACACCCTATTTAAGAAACATCCTGTATTACATACAGGTTAACTAAGGCACAAGAAAACTAAGAAAGGCCCACAATGGCACTTGGAATGAGAAGCCATAGACCCAGGATTTCATTCCATCTGCTTGCCTTCTGCTATTAAGTTGCTGATGGATACTTAATCAAATACCAAAAGTTTCTGGGACTTCATTTTGATCATCTTCAAAATGGAGGGAATGTCATTTCTGCCTCAACAGTATTTTATGACAATCAATGAGATCATTTCAGTAAAATGCTTCTTGAAGCTGAGCCTTAAGAATAAAGCAAAGGATGGAATGTTAAGTTATTATTTATGTACTAGAGGCCTGGTGCATGAAATTCGTGCACTGGGGTGGGGGGTGCCTTAGCCTGGCCTGTGCCCTCTCCCAATACGGGACCCCTCCCTCCTTACTGCCCACCTGCTTGCTGCTTCCTACCGCTCTGCTTGCTGCTCCTTAGTCCCACCACCACCGCTGCACTCGCCAGCTGCCCTGGCCCCTGCTGTGGGTCAGAGCTCCTCTGCTACAGCAAAGGTTTGGGTTCCATTCTGCCAGGGCACTTACTTAGGTTTCGGGTTTGATATCCAGTTGGGGCTGACTGCTGCTCAGGAAGTGACTGAGGACCGTGTGCTCTAGTCATTTGGTGGGGAGCTGGGGTTCCATTGCCAACCTGGCCAACTCTGATCCCCACTACCCCCACTCCTACATCAAGGACGACTTCAACTATGGCAGCTGCATGGCCTCCGCCAGCGTACACATCCGCATGGGTAGGTCACCCTCTCCTTGGCTCGCCAGGCATGGCTGCTGCGCAGTCGCCCCAGAGGTGAATTTCCGGGTTCCCAAGGAGAACGCCCTCTGCGCCAGACCCCAGGGAGAGCAGGGTCAGAGGAAAGCACTTCGCCTGGAGGGGAGCACCCGTCCTATGCAGGGCTCGCAGGGTTCGTGTCTCTGATCCTGCCCCCAGCAGCCCCAGCACCAAGGTAGTGGGCCTTGGGGTTGCTGGGTGCCGGGTCTGCTGGTTTGTGTCTCCAATCAAGCCCCCAGCATCCCCAACACCGCCTCAGCAGGGCTTGGGGCTGCTGGGTGCCAGGCTCCCCTGCGTTTTTGTGTCTCTAATCCGGCCCCCAGCAGCCCCAGCAACCCCAGCACCGCCTAAATAGCTTAAGGGAAACTTTATTTAGTCTTCTTTTAAAAGTAATCTAGTTTAAAAATGAGTTGCAGTTAAGAGAGAACAAAGAGCCCTAGCTGGTTTGGCTCAGTGGATAGAGTGTTGGCCTGTGGACTGAAGGGTCCCAGGTTCAATTCTGGCCAAGGGCACATGCCTGGGTTGCGGGCTCATTCCCCAATAGGAGACCTGCTGGAGGCAGCCAATCAATGATTCTCATCATTGATGTTTCTCTCTCTCTCTCCCCTTCTCCCTTTCTCTCTGAAATCAATAAAGAAATATATTTTTTTAAAAAAGAGGAAAAAAAAAGAGAGAACAAAGAACATGGTACCTAAGAGTGAGATAGACAGAGGAGAGACTGGGCACTGGTCAGGGGCTTACATGCCAACTGTTCTCCACCTGGGAAATGATGTAAAATCGGTTTCTTTAGTTTTCTGCTCAATGGTCTTCTCCAGCGAGTGGAGTGGCATCTGCTTGCTTCTACCTGGGACCTGGCTTGGTGGTCGCCTTGGGGTCTGACTGCACTCCAGCGGGCTTCGCACAGGCCTGCCTGCTCTGCCTGGCCCTGTCCACACGTTGCTTCCTCCGAGTCTTCCTTGGGCGCAGCCCCCGTCCATCACCTCCTCCTGTGTCTCGCACCGCTTCCACAGAGCAGAGAAAGATGCCCACACGGAGTTCAGGTCTGCAAGGAGCTGGTCCTCTGCTTTCAGAACCTTCGGGATCTCCACTTGCAATTGTTCCCTTCCATGACCTTCCTTCCCTACCTCCGGCATCTTCCCGGAGCACCGCATGCCTGCCCTCCAGCAGCAGGTTGTCTTTGTGTGGCTTTCAGGGCCTGGTGGCCACACTGCGGCCCTTCCGCATTGGGCGCTGGGCCTGAGGCCCACCTGGGAAAGCAGTCGGCTCCCCAGCGAGTCCCACTGCATCAGGCACACGTGTGCCCGCCTACGCCCACGCCCTCCAGGCATGCGCAGCTCCACGCTGTGCTCAGGGCCTGGGCAGCGCTCCAGGAGCGGGGTGTGGAGGTGTCGGGACTCCTCCCAAAGGCGACCCTTCACCCGGGAGTCCCTGCCACTCCATTCACCCCCTCGGCCAGCGGGAAGCGCCCTCAGTGGGTCCACTGCTCTGGGTGCTAGGGAGGAGGAGGCCACGGAGGGCGAGGCCCTGAAGCAGGAGGAGGCTTCGGAAGGCAGGCGAGGAGCCCAGGACTCATGGTGTCCCGCTGCCATCCCGTGTCCCACTGGGGCCTGCACCCAGGAGTGCCATGGCTGCCACAGGGCCACTGGCTGGGCTTGGAGGTTTGTCCTTTGCACACAGGCCCAGCGGCCTGCCTGGTGTGGGTGGGGGTTTCGGGTCACCTTGAGGGAGGCTCTGGCCTTTCTCTGCTCCTCTCCTGGTGGAGCAGCTGGACTCCAGCACTGTGGTCAGAGGAGCTGCCTCCCAGCCCCCAGGCCACTTCTTGGAGTCAGAAGTTGCGCCGCCCGCCCCACCCTGCACACTGCAGGCCTGGATCCTGTACTGGGGCAGGCGGGATCGTGTTGCCACCCGCCCGGCCAGCACCGCCTCCCACCCCCTGTGCCCCAGGCCGCACTCGGCAGGCCTGGATCCTACGCTGGGGCAGGCTGGTGGCTCAGGATCACGTTGCCACCAGGAGGGGCAGCCCAGCAGGATCTGCCTGCAGTATGCAAATTAGCCGCCATCTTTGTTGGTGATTAATTTGCATATTGCACTGATTAGCTAATGGGAGGTGTAGTGAAGGTATGGTCAATTACCATGTTTGTCTATTATTAGATAGATACATAAATATTTATAAATGTTATTTAAGATAATTATAACATATTATTATATTATTATATTTATGCCAAGTCTTTTTGATTTGTGAGGGTGACCAGGTATCCTCAACAACAGACAGTGTTCTCCAGGCTAAGTGAGTTTGATGTAGTTACACTAACGCACTTTGGTCCAAGTTGTGCTCTTTCCATTGCCATGAGGCTCTGTATTCTGGGATCCTTGCAATTATGATAATAAATTTGTGTTTTAATTATTTTCTTTGTTTGAGCTGATAATTGGCCAAAATCTTTCACTCCTCTACCTTTAAACTTGCTTTGTCATTCATGTGCCATTATATTTCACCTTCTATCAATTCCTGATAGCTAAAATGGAATGAACTTAACTTTGGCAACCATGGGACAACTGTTATCTAAACTTTCTGAAACATAAGTAATGTTACTTCTAGGTTCTAAAAGTTGGGCTAAAACCACAGTGTCACATTACTATCAACAACAAGGACTGATACATTATCAATCACAATTGAACAAAAATTACAAAAAAGTAAATCTGACATGTAATTATTGTCTTACTCATTATTTTACTACACTAGAGGCCCGGTGCATAAAATTCATGCACTGGAGGGGGGAGGAATGTCCCTCAGCCCAGCCGGCACCCTCTCGCAATCCGGGACCCTTTGGGGGATGTCCGACTGCTCTGTAGTGCTGCCTGGTTCCAGGAGAGAATCCCGCCGCAGCTGCACTCGCCAGACGTGAGCGCGGCTTCTGACTGAGCAGCACTTCCCCTGTGGGAGCACACTGACCACCAGGGGGCAGCTCCTGCCTTGAGTATCTTCCCCCTGGTGGTCAGTGCGCATCATAGTGACTGGTTGACCGGTTGTTCCAGTCTTTCCGGTCGTTCCGTCATAATGGTCATTTAGGATTTCATATATATAGATGGTCATTAGGAACAAAAGATAGAAGTTCACATAAATAACTATAGTGCTACATTACAAACCAAACCATGAGTTTGTTTTTTTTCTCCCCCCTTTATTAGCTAGCCAGCAGCATAACTGGCATTAAGAATGATATTCTCAGGTTTATTTAAAATTCACATTACAAATTTATAACACATGTGTTCATCTATCCACACAAACACACATACAGAGCCACATTAATAACTAACCAATGCATTTAGAAAGCATGGATATAAAATATATATTGAGTTGAAAAAAAGTTAAAATCAAGGGAAGTTGGAATTAGATGTGGGAAATAATGGGAAAGGAGTAGTTCTAGATGACTCTCAGTTTCCTATTACTGGGAAGTAGGTGAGTGACTGTATCAATCAGTACTTTTGGTAGAAATATGGAGTTCTGCTCACTACCAGGATGCAGTATGATGAGTACGATTTTAGGCATGCAATTTGAGCTACTGGCGGTATGCCCAAATGTACATGTGGAATGGACAAATGATAATATGTCTGGAACCCAGGAGAAGTTAGAACTAGATATAGATTTGGAAGACAGAAGGTGTACAGTAGGTAAAATCTTAAAAGTGACATCAGAGAAAGAAGAAAAGAGAAGCATATGGTGAACACTGTTGTTTGTTCATGCTATTGCCATCTCCCCTGCCTAAATAAGAAGGTCACCATGATGGGGTTCAACAGTCTTGGCACTAAATTTGTTAGACCCTATTTATTTTATGATGGTCTTTATAAGTCAATTTTCTTTTTTTCAATTTTGTTTTATTGCTTAAAGTATTACAAAGAGTAGTACATATGTCTCCTTTCCCCCCGCCCTTGACATTCCCCTGGCCACCCCTACCCCCGAGTCTTATGTCCATTGGTTATGCTTATATGCATGCATGCAAGTCCTTCAGTTGATCTCTTACCCCCCGTTCCCGCCCCCCAACCCTCCCCAGCCTTCCTGCTATAGTTGACAATTTGTTCGATGCTTCTCTGCCTCTGTATCTATTTTTGTTCATCAGTTTATAATGGTCTTTATTATCCATAAATGAGTGAGATCATGTGGTATTTTTCTTTTATTGACTGGCTTATTTCACTTGGCATAATGCTCTGTAGTTCCATCCATGCTGTTGCAAATGGTAAGAATTCCTTTTTTTTACAGCAGCATAGTATTCTGTTGTGTAGATGTACCACAGTTTTCTAATCCATTCATCTGCTGATGGGCACTTAGGCTGTTTCCAGATCTTCAGTATGGTAAATTGTGCTGCTATGAACATAGGAATGCATATATCCTTTCTGATTGGTGTTTCTGGTTTCTTGGGATATATTCCTAGAAGTGGGATCACGGGGTCAAATGGGAGTTCGATTTTTAACTTTTTGAGGAAACTCCATACTGTCTTCCATAGTGG